CGACAAAACATCCACTCGGCTCTGCTCATATCAGAAACCTCAGGAATAGAATTACCGGTTATCTGAGACAAAAGATAGGGAATAGCTTTGTAATATTTCCCTAGTTTTAGTTTTTTCAGCGTTTTCCGTAGGCTTTGTGGCGTTGGTTCTTCTAAATGACCTATAATTCTTTCCATTACTTCGTCGTCTAAATATACCGGCCGATGACCTTGAATATGACTCATCCAGTCTCTGAAGTATTTTATTCTTTTGTATGGAGTCTTCTTACGACCTCCGTTAGAGTAATATTGTTCCCTGGTAGCACAAGGCACGGCATTACGAATATTCTTACCACACTCGTAACACTGTGCTGACGTGTCATCTTCTATTCGCATCTTCTTACCACAGCAAATATACTTATTCGGTTTAGTAGGTACAAACTTGGGTTTCAAACACTTTACACAGAAGTCATAAACAAACTCTTTACAATCTTCGCACTCCATATATAAACTAACATATTTGCGCTGTTACCCTCAACCACACTTGGAATGGGGATTGTCCGTAGGTGGATTTTTGACACGGGGTTTACCCGTGTTGAGATTGCGCTGAAACCCCCATTCCCTATACTACTCATCTCATTAGATATCTTGCATCTCATTAGATATATATATAAATGTATACTACAACCTTTTTACAATCAAGTGTATATATATATATCTATACACCCTTATATCTATATATTTATATACATATATATATTTACCCTTATTGAATTTTCTCAACTGAGCTTTCAGTTTCAATAAATCAAAAATGGCTGTTAAAGCACCAATCTTTAGGGAGCTGTTCCRACGATTTCTTTAAGAGCTGACTTTGCATTATTATGACAATGGCCATCCTCTTTATGACACACAAGAAATAAAGAGGTTTGCAGTACGATATGCTCCTGGGCTGTTTGGCCAAACCTACTGTAAGATAGCAAAGATTGTTTTTTAGTTTCAGCAGAACCCATATATATTTTATAATTTAGGTATTAATTGTAAATTAAGTTCATTCATTCACACAAAGGCACAAGGACTATTCTCTGTTGCCTTGCTGCAGAGTGCATCATTGACCCGCTTAGGGATATTTGTAACAGTGGAGATGGTACAGTAAAACTACCAAGGGAGAAAAAAATTCCAGGTAAAACGAATTTGTGTTTAAGTATTTAAATTACAAACTCAGATGAACACAAACAATTATGTATACTGTGATAAATAATATATTGTTTGATTTTGCATGAATTTTAACAGCCATATTGTTTACCTTACATTGATGCTACTGTGGACCAAAGAAGTCTTCCACTTGAATATGATTGGTGAGAAGGAGAACCGACTCACAAAAAGCATGTGATTTAGCAGAGCGGAACCGAAGGCGACAACACACTAACCCTGACTTTTAGGCATTTCTTCCACGTCCTCTRCATGCCTGCTCGCACTCCTCGCAACTGCCCCATATGCCATCCTCGTCTGCTACTCAAAGTCCAGACCCTGTCTAGCACTTTTAATGCTGGATTATTATAAAGGTCGATGATGACGATGCCGAAAGCAATGTGTCGTCGAGTTCAAATGCCTCGTTTGAAAAATGGTATCAAAATGTTTCGGATGCTATTTGATATGTTTAAGTTCATTCACTTATTGTTCTTTTGCCGAAGTATGAAGCTTATATATCCATGTCTGTCCTTATATTTTAAGAATTTCCACTTGTCATCGAACACTAGGAGATGCGATCGAAGTCCTTCTCAATCAAGACGTAAAATTCCTTATTTTGGCGTCAAGTCGACAATAAGCTTCAAAACAACTACCAAGATCAAGGGCTCCGTCGAATTATGAGTTGCTTTGAAAAGTTTTGAGTGTCATTGCTGCGTTTTTGTCCGTTTTCAGAGCAATTTTCCAAGAGACAGATTTTTACCCCCTTTCGTCCGCCATATTGGATTGCTCATGAAAATAGTCTCTAATGCGCATGCGTCCGGTTTTTTCGCTCTGTCTACCGTCTACGGCGACACTTTTAGAAGAGTGTGTGTTTATGCTGAAAAAAATCCCGAAGTAAAAGATAAATTACGGAAATCTAATTTAATGCCACTTATGAGCAATGGAATCACTGGTAATAGTTTTCATTTCTTTTCTGCTCTTCCATTCTTCAGGTAAGGGAATAAGGTTTATTGGAGCAATAATATGGTTAAAACAATAACAAACAACACTTTACGGAACAAGATCACATTCGGTTGTTTCCTAGATGCTGGATCATTCACTTGGCTACATTCGGACGATACAGTGAATGTTGTGGAAGGTGGAACGGCAAAGCTCAACTGGAGTGTTCGTATTGGKGCTGGTAAGACATGGGTAGCCGTCAAGATCACCAGAAGCGCTGCAGCTCTTTCTGGCCCAGGAGACGTAGACATGATAAGAAGAAAGCCGTCTGGTGTAGAGATACTGCTGGCCGAACGAGGTGTTGACATGGACTTAGATGTTCAAGCGAATTTGAATGTTCTTAATATTACTTTCTCGCTTCGTAATCTATCAAGGAAAACTGACGAGATGTATTACAGAATATCTGTGTACGACGATGATCCTGACAGTTCTATAAGAAACACAAAACTGAATGTTAATGGTAAGTGAAGGATGCTATGCCATTGAAGCTCGTATCTTACGCACATAATTTGAATAAATAACATACCCGATTTTGAATTTACGTTCAAAGAGCCTTCTGATTGTTTGAGTATTCTTGAATTTTCGTTATGAACCACTTCTTGCTAGGTTTTATTTGGCGATGGTGTGCTATATATCTAAGTCTTATCTTACTTCCGTGTACGAGTGTGAAGATGCTAATAGAGATCTCTGTTATTTTGTTTAATTCAAGAATTTAACAAGTAACAGGAAAAAGTTACTATTATATATACGGATCCAGAAACACCATTTCATCGACAGAAATCTCGTTCAATTTACGAGAAAAATTAAACTTGTTAAGTTACAATCCTCCAATGTGAAAGACCTTCGTTAAGCTTCTTTCAAAGAAGGCAAACTAATAAATATCACTATAGTATGTTGTACGATACGATTGTACCAAAATATTCCATTTACTTTTACAATTAGCAACTTTTTGCATTATATGTGTATGAATTTGAAATTCCAAAAGTATAGTTTAAAGAAGGTATATTAGACCGAATGTAAAGAACCATGGATTGGGATCCGTTTCCTATAGTTCATTAAATACAATGGTTTGAGTGGCATACCTTGAAGTATCCTAAACTGGCACTTGTATTTTCTAGACGTAGACATTCTGAAGCCTTCGGGCGAGCGCTTGTGTTTATGTGAAGAAGAAAAAAGTTACAAGTGGTATATTCCATGGTATGACATGCAGAATCATAGTATAAGTTCTATATTTTCCCACATGAAATTGAAAACAGAGCAATACAAATTTTCCTTTCTTTGGTAACTTGGATTTATTGCTGACCTAGCTAGGTATAAACACTGCATATGAGACTGCAACAGCTATAAAATCTATAAAAAACATAACCCTAATTGGTAATGATGTTGTTACTGGCCCTTGCTAAAGGAGGAAACATGTTTCCAGAAACATGTTTACCAAGCACATGTTTCCTCAATGTTTTCAAGTTTAGCCATATGTGAAACAATGCTGCGTGCAGCAAATTTTGCTTCCAAGATGCAAAAAACGTTTTTGCTGTGCGGCAGAAACATTTCATGTTTCCAAGACGCATAGAAACATTGTTCTTGTTGTTTGTTGAGGGTTTTGCCACCTCATGAAATATATGTCACTTTTTGGAAATATGTTTACTTGTTTAGCCAGGGCCTAAGTCATGTTATACATAATATGTATAACATGAATAACGATATCATTACCAATTAGGGTTAAGATTTTTATAGATTTTATAACTGTTGCAGTCTCATATGCAATGTTTATACCTAGCTGTAGCTAGGTCGGCAATAAATTCAAGTTACAAAAAAAAGGAAATTTTGTATTAAGCTCTGTTTTCTATCCTACCATTTTCAGAAATATTAACACATTTGCATCTTTTGTGAATTCAGTTATCATCCACATCTTTAGTAGCTAGGCTAACTTTAAATTGAAATACAATTTATAATAAGTGATTTGATGACAAGATGTCATGGAAGTGTTGTTACTTTTTATCATCAACATCCTATTTAATCATATTCATGATGTTATTTAATTTAAAAAAAATCATATTTAATAGGTGAAAGTAAAGAAAAATTTCAGCTGTTCTCGTGGCTACCTTCTCCCTGAGTTTATTGCTAATAAGGTGCTACTTTTGATAGTGAGGATTTTTTAATTGGTAAGATTTTAGTTTCGAGGAATAAAAAAATGTTTTAAAAATACTGTAAATTGCTGGATATATAAACCCCACCAAATTATAAGCACTCCCAGTTATGAGTCTATCTTCTGCTAACACGAATATTCTTCCAGTTATAGTCCCCCCCCCCTCCATCTAAGCACATATCTAGTTCTGAAATTTCATGTTTAATCCATTAATGAAATATAAAGACATTGACTGTGAACATAAGAGAGAAAATACCATTTCCTCTTCATCCCAAACATTTTTTTTCCTGGCTGTAACCTTCCTCTCCAAATATAAGCCCTCTGGAATTGTTATTACATGTAGCTGATTTTACAATAACAATATTTTGTTTTTAACAATATAATATACTTTTTGAACCTTTAAAACATTTGAACTCAGAAGAACCTAGAAGAAATTTGTATTTTTATTAGAAGGTACCAGCCATAAGTATTTTAAGCTAATATGTTTGTATTGCACCAGACATTTTGATGCCCAGGTGTATATGTATGCAAATGTAAATAATTTTATTTTGTCGTTGTCTTTGTCGTTTGCTTACTAGCGCTTAGAACAGATTTGCATTTGCGCTTTATAAATAAATATTATTATTATTATTATTATGTTAATAAAGACAGGTAATACAGCTATAGCATAGTATTATTATTTAGCTATAGAACAAATAAAATTGTTATTAGTAGTATTGCTATAAACTTAGGAACTTCATTTAAATATATTACATGTAATATGGATTAGAAACTGGAAGCTAGATGTTGATAAAGACATACAGATAGTACAGCATATATTGTTGACAAAGATGATCTAACATGAGAAATATTTCCCTTTGTTTATAGCTGGATTTTGTTTTAATCTTGAGGTGCTTTACTAGTGCCCAACTGTTTATGTCTATTTCATATGCAAATCAAGCAATGTTGTATGATATAATTATTAATTATTTCACCAAACCATGAGCATTTAAAATTGTACATGGAAGGCATCAAAATAATGGTGAAACTATAACCTTACGTAAAGTAATAATAACCAAAAAAACATGAATTATATCTTTGAACATCAAGAAATAGCATATACTTATATATTCATGATGGTGACATAGCATGACAAATATTTCATGTTTACATTTGGGTTGGTATTATTTTCATCTTGAGTCAGACGACCTGTATCATCCTACTGTTATATCTTTT